TATAATAGTCCATCCTGTGGGTGAATCGTAATGGCTTTTTAATGGTTTTTAAGATGGGGACCAGCAGTTGGTGTAATGGCTATGTCGCTGGACGCCCATGTAGTCGACCGCGGTTCGAGTCCTGGACCCAGTGACTTAAACTCACGCTGGGTGCGTGTGCGTGTGTGCCCAAGATCCCGAGAGGAGAATGGGGGAGAAGGGATTGCTATGTGGCCATCCCCCTTGGGGGGTGATTTCTCGCTTTCTATCTCTCTGTCTCTGTCTTTCTGGTGAGCGCATGTACCCTATAGCAAAAGCCTCTCCAAAAAAGAGAAAAAAGAAAGATTATTTATTGGGACCAGGAGATGGTGTAATGTTTATGTCATGGGACTCCCACATAGTGGACCACAGTTCAAGTCCTGAATTGTACAGGCACTTGTGGTTGTGTACCCAAAATCCCAAGTGGAGAATGGAGGAGAAAGGATTGCAGTGTGGCCATCCCCCTAGGGGATGATATCTGGCTTTCTGTCTCTCTGGGGAGCATACATACCCTATAGCAAAAACTGTTCTAAAAACAAAAGATTATGTCACTGGACTTCCACGTAGTCGACCCCGGTTTAAGTCCTGGACCTGGCGTCTTAAAACTCATGCCGGCGCATGTGCGTGTGTGCCCAAGATCCCAAGAGGAGAATGGAGGAGAAGGGACTGTGGTGTGGCCATCCTCCCTGGGGGGTGATTTCTCGCTTTCTGTCTCTCTGCCAATCGCATGTGCCCTGTAGCAAAAATCTCTCTTAAACATTTAAAACAAAAACCAAAAACAACAACAAAAAAAAATTTAAAACAAAAACCAAAAACCAAAAAAAAAAAACAAAAAAAAAAGAACCCTGCCCCCATTGTCAGACAATTAGAGGAAAAAATTACAGGTTTGAAAAAAATTTCAAACAGCGCTTTAATGAGCATCCTTGGGGCTGGCAGGTGGCGTGGTAGTTAAGGGCACTGGACTCCCACATAGCTGAATGTGTTTCAAGTCCCGAACCGGGCAGCTTGCTTTCTTATTTTCACTGTCACTCTCTGGTCAAATTAAAAATAATCATAATAACGGTCAAATAAAAATAATTATTTAAAAACATAATAAGCAACCTCATAGCAGTTTCAGGTGCTGTGCTTAGGCTAAAGTCTTAGCCCCCATTGGCTGGGTAAAAACGCAAATACAGAAACCTGAAAGCTAGGCTGTGGGTTGGCACACTGCCCTCCAGGAACATCTAATCCTGGCTTTCATATTTAATTGAAGCTATCTCGTGGTATTTTACATATCCTTGTAAACCACTTAGAGTCCTCTCTGGAACAAGGCAGGACACAAATACATACCGAAGCCTCAAGTCACTTCTGTTTCCTGATTAAATTATCCAGCCTCAAACACAATCATTCTCATTTTATTAAGAGGCAACTGCTTGCTCTGTTTGTGCTGGTTAATCCCCTGTGTCCAGGGCTCCATGGAGGGCTGTCCCCTGCACGCGTGGTCGTCCCTCCACCCTGGGATGCCCTGAGAGTTGCTTTGGAACCAGGATGTAGGCGATGGAGCTGGGAGAGACTTTTCCTGCACTGTCTCATACTCAGTCAAGCCGAGACCTGTTCCTGAGCCTGTTGCCTAAGTGGGGCAGCAACCTCAGTGAAAGTTTTTTGTTTTTTTTTGCAAAGTTGCAGCCAGGGGCCCGCAGGTGGTATGGTGGTTACATCGCTGGACTCATGCATTGTGGAAGGTGGTTCGAGTCCTGGACCCGATGGCTTAAAAATCATACTGGGCACAAAATCATGCCGGGCACGTGTGTGTGTGCATGCCCAAAAATCCTGAGAGGAGAATGGAAGAGAAGGGATTGTAGCATGGCCATTCTCCTTGGGGGCAATTTCTCACTTTCCCTCTCTTTGTCTTTCTTCATGAGCACATGTGCCTTATGGCAGGAATATATATATATATATATATAGAAGTGTTTTTTGCTATAGGGCATGTGCACATGCCAGAAAGACAGAGAGAGACAGAGACAGAAAGCAAGAAATCACCCCGTAGGGGGGATGGCCACACCGCAATCCCTTCCCCTCCATTCTCTTCTCAGGATCTTGGGCATGCACGCACACCTGCCCAGCGTGAGTTTAAGCCACCTAGTCCAGGACTCATAGCCATTACGCCAACTGCTGGTCCCATCTTGGTGGGAATTTCTGTCCCTGGAGAACTCCTGTGTCCTCACACCTGCTGTTATAAAGCACTTCCCTTGGCAGGTCGGCAAGTGGCCTGGTAGTTAAGGTGCTAGACTCCCATGGTTGACGGTGGTTCGAGTCCTAGACCTGGTGGCTTGCTTTCTCTGCCTCTCTCTCTCTGCGTGTCTCTGGTGAGCGCATGTGTCCTACAGCAAATTAATAGTAAATAAATAACACTAATTTTTTTTTAAAAAGGCATTTCCCATGGGATATGCCCCTATTCCTGGGGGTTTCACCACTGAGAGTTTTTTTTTTTTTTTGGAGAGGTTTTTGCTATAGGGCGCATGCGCTTGCCAGAAAGACAGAAAAAAAGTGAGAGAAATCACCCCCTAGCTGGGGAAGGCCACACCGCAATCCCTTCTCCTCCATTCTTCTCTTGGGATCTTGGGCACGCACGCACACATGAGTCCGGCATGAGTTTTAAGCCACCGGATCCGGGACTCGAACTGCAGTCGACTACGTGGGAGTCCAGCGACATAGCCATTATGCTAACTGCTGGTCCCCCACCAAGAGTTCTTGACTTGGATTTCAAGCTAGACTCATTCTGGGAGAACTGACTTGTAGCCTCAGGAACATGGAGCCTTCCAAGACATGCCACTGACTTCTAGAGACGTGAGCTTGATTGTGCCTTTGAACTCCAACCCGGTGGGCAAAACGCAGGATCCTCACATGCTGGGCCTTGGCAGCTGAAGCCCAGGCTTTCATTACCGCGCTGCAGAGACCACGCAGGGAGGTGCACACGACACACACAATTATCTTAGGAAAGCCACGGAGGCCTGTCTCTCCGCGCCACTTAAATCTGACTTCTCTTTTACAGTTCAATATTTCATCTGTTGAGAGAAAATGGCTTGTTTGCTTCAAAAGACACGCCAGGAACCGTAGGGAGGAAGATGTTAATTATGTCGAACTGGGCTGCTTTGTCTCTGTGTAAATGAGACTCTTGGGGGGGGGGGTTCTGTAAATTGCATGGGGATCAGAGCCAGGGGAGAATGGGCAGGAATCTCAGGGTGCTGTTTATTCTTTTTCTTTAGGCTTAAAGAATTGCACTGGGGGGGCCTGCCGATGGCAGGGTGTGGAAAGGGGCTGGATCCCACGTGACCCACTGTGGGGGTACCTTCTTTCTCTCCTTCTCTTTGTCTTGCTCTTTCTGGAAAATGCATACACCCTCTGGCAATTAAAAAATATATATATATATTGTTGTATTTATTCATTCATTTATTTTAATTTGACCAGAGAGAGACTCACAGAGAGAGAGAACGTGAGAAAGCAAGCCACCAGGTCCAGGACTCAAACCCTAGTCAGCCATGTGGGAGTGTCCAGCGCTTTAACCACCATGCCACCTGCCGGTCCCCCCCCCAAAAAAATATTTTTTTTATGTTTTTGCTATAGGGCAAGTGTGTTCACGAGAGAGACAGAGACAGATAGAGACAGTGAAAGGGAAAGTGAGAAATCCCCTCCAAAGGGGATGGCCAGGCCACAACCCCTTCTCCTCCATTCTTCTCCCAGGGTTCTGGGCATCCGCACACACACACACACGCACACACACACAAACCTGGCATGATTTTCAAGCTGCTTGGCCCAGGCCTCACACCTCAGTTGACTGTGGGGGAGTCCGTCACCTTACCCACCACGCCACCTGCTAGCCTTAGAATTTATTTTTAAGAAGAAGGGGTTCCCCCTAATTTAGAAGGTTACATAAAGCACCAAGAATGACTAATTACAATAGTTTCAGATGGTGTTTATGAATGGTTTGTTTTTCTTTTAATTTAGTGGAGGAGTCAAATTTATCTGTGTAATTATATCATTTGCTCACATTTCAGTAGCTTAAAAAAAAAACAAAAAAAAGAGGCTTTCTTGAGTGGGAGAGAAGCAGGTGGGGTAATAGCTATAGACGCTCTGAGATTGCTTTCAACTCACAGCCCCGCTTAGCTCCGCCGCAGTTTGAGTCCCAGGCCAGGAGGCTTGAAAATCATGCTGGGGGTCGGGGGGTGCGGCAGGTGGCTCGATGGTTAAGGAGGCTCTGGACATTCCCACGTGGCCTACTACGGTTCAAGTCCTGGACCCGGTGGCTGGCTTTCTCACTTTCCTTCTCTCCATGTGTGTGTGTCTCTCTCTCTCTGGTCAAATTAAAATAAACGAATAAATAAATAAACTGTAAGAAAAAAGAAAAAAAATCACGCTGGGTGCATGTGCATACCCAAAATCTCAAGAGAAGAATGGAGAAGGGATTGTGGTATAGCCATCTCCCCCCTGGGGGGCAATTTCTCACTTTCTGTCTCTCTGTCTCTGTCTCTCTGGCCAGCACACGCGCCCTGTAGCAAAAACCTCTCAACAACAGCAGCAAAAACCCTCAAGGGGTATCAGCAGTTAGCGTAATGGCTATGTCGCTGGACTTCCATGTAGCTGACTGTGGTTCAAGACCTGGACCCGGTGGCTTAAACTCACGCTAGGCGCGTGTGCGTGCGTGCCCAAGATCCCGAGAGGAGAACGGAGGAGAAGGGATTGCAGCGTGGCCATTCCCCCTGGGGGGTGAATTCTCGCTTTCTGTCTCTCTGTCTCTCTGTCTGGCGAGTGCACACCCTGTAGCAAAAACCTTTCTTTAAAAAAAAAAAATGGTCGAAGGATTGAGTCTCCTGCAGTGGCGCCTAGCACGGGATCTGGCACATCCCGGGGGTCAGGGGAAGGGCGTGTGTCATTTCTGCGGGCCCCTTTGCTCTCCCAGTACCCCCCTGGGCTCCCGCTCTCTGACCCTGCCCTCCTCCCTGCAGACCCTCTTCCAGAGCCCGGAGGAGGGCTGGCAGCTGTACACCTCGGCCCAAGCCCCGGACGGCAAATGCATCTGCACGGCCGTGATTCCCGCGCAGAGCACCTGCTCTCGCGATGGCCGGAGTCGGGAGCTGCGGCAGCTGATGGAGAAGGTGAGAGCCCTCCTGGCGCTCAGGGGAGGCGTGAGGACCCCCGGCTCCCACCCTGCTCCCCACCCCTGCCCAGATCGGCCTGAGCCACGGCCGGCCACGCGGGTTACCAGAGTCGGCTGATAACCTGGCTCCCGTCCAGGTAGAGGTCTCGCTCCGTGTCTGCTTGATGCTTCTTTCAAAGAGTAGCCCAGGGGGGACCAGCAGGTGGCGTACTGGCTATGTGACTGGACTCCCACGTAGTCGACCGTGGTTTGAGTCCTGGACCCGGTGGCTTAAACTCACACCGGGCACGTGTGTGTGTGTGCCCAAGATCCCGAGAGGAGAATGGAGGAGAAGGGATTGTGGCGTGGCCATCCCCCCGGGGAGTGTGTGTGTGTGTGTGTGTGTGAATTCTCGCTTTCTGTCTCTGTCTCTCTCTTTCTGAGGAGTGCACGCACCCTATAGCCACAATCTCTGCTAAAAAAGAAAATAATGATGATAAATAAAAGTAAATAAATAATTATTTAAAAAAGAAAAGAAGGGGCCGGCAGGTGGCATGGTGGTTAAGGGTGTTGAACTCCCTCATGGCCGACCATGGTTCTAATCCCAGACCAGGCAGCTTGCTTTCTCACTTTCCCTCTCTCTCTCTCTCTCTCTCTCTCTCTCTCACTCTGTCCCTCTCTGGTCAAATTAAAATAAATAAATGAACTTAAAAAATAGATCAAGTTTGGGACCAGCAGGTGGCATGGTGATTGAGGCACTAGACCCTCCCACGTGGCCAACCATGGTTCGAGTCCTGGACCTGGTGGCTTGCTTTCTCTCTTCCACACTCTCTCTCTCTGGTCAAATTAAAATAAATGAATGAATAAAATTAAATAAATAATTTTAAACAAAACGAATAAAGTTTAATAAGATAATTCTTTAAAGAAAAAAAGAATGTTCCAGAAAGTATCCGGCAGGTAAGGGGACAGTAGGCAGGTCCAGGCGCCAGCACGGCAGGAAGGTTGCTCTGAGTGAGGACGAGCAGGAATCAGCCATGGGAAGATGAGGGAACAGCATTGCAGGTGGAAGGAACAGCCCACACAAGGCCCTGGAAGGAGCGTCATCTTGGAATGCTGTCAGCCTAGGAAGCGGGGAAGGAATTATGGGCGGAGGCGGGACTGCCGGTGGGAGGTCTGCAAAGTGGGGCGGGACCTGCTCTTCGCGGGCAAAGCTCCCCCTGGCGACGGCGTGGGGAATTGCCTGTGGGGGAGGTTGGAAGCCGAGAGTAGGGGACGCCGTGTCAGGTGGGGGGGGGGGGGGCCGGGGGGGC